CAGTCTTTCTGCTTTTAGAAGCCCCCGACATCTAGGTGAGGACAAGTCTATAGCATCAAATATAATTCTGGGGGTACACAAGAAGCAGTGAGCTCAAAGCACTCAGCCCCTTTCAGTCCCAGAGTTCTCATGTGGCTGCATGTGAGGTTTCAGAAAGCAACACTGTTTATCATGTCACTCTCCTCCCCGAATGTGTGGGCTCCACTCTTGCACAGGCACGATGAATGTAATGACACACAACAGCGGGTCCTGGCCTTTTTGAAACCTTCAGTCCAGGTAACACAGGCACTGCATGTAGAGTGCAAGAGAAGCTCAGCTGTGCTGGGGGCTGTCAGTCACTTACTTATGTCCTGAGTCTGTCCCCCGGATGTTTCAGCACTGTTTATGGGCCTGGCAAGATCCTCATCCTCAGAAAACGTGCACTTTAGAGCCCAGTGCAGAAGGACCTGCCCTTTGGATTGAGGAAGGCACCCAGACCCCTCGGCTCCACCATGTCAGTCTCGGTTTCCTCATCTGCCAAGTGAGGGCCATGCTCTCTGGCTGCCTTCTCAGATGTTCACTGGATGCTTTCTCCTCTCTAAGTAGGTAGATGGCTGGGTGCTGCAGAAAGGGAGTTACCTAATTCCTTCACCTAGGAAGCAGGTGGGGATTGTGTCCACAGTGGAGGGTGGTGCAGTGCGTCCCGAGGGTGCAGGTACCTTCTTTCCTCTATGCCCAGCTCCTAACACTGGCCTTGTCCTGGCCTCTTCTTACAGCTGAGGTGCTGCTCATCCCTCTGGGCTGATGGAGTGGGAGTGGCCTGCTTCTGGCTCTCCCTGCCCACAAGGGGTGATGTGCCTTGAACTCTGTTCCCTGCAGAGGGGATCTGGGAATCTAGGCTCCAGTAAGGCTCCAGCAGGATCCTCTGGTGACAAGCAGCCTCCTGTCCTGCCTCCACTTACCAGGGTACCAGGACCTTGCTGCCCTGAATTCTCAGCCCAGCTGAAGTACTCACAGCCTATTGTGACTTAGTGGGGGCACCTGCTTTGGTGGGGGTCTTTGGATAAAAACTACTAACCCCTTCTCCAGTAGGCAAGTAAGAGAACCAGCAAGAGGCTGAGGGACCCCAGAGAACTTGCTTCTCAGGGGAGATACAGTGCCCTGCACCTTTGTCCCCAGGCACTGGGGACTTGGCAGATGCTCCCTCGGGTGGGTAGGATCCAGGAGTCTGAGAGCATTGGTAATTGTCTGACACATCTCACAGCACAGCAGCAGGAGACTAGCACTTGCCAGGGGACATTGCACTACCCATATGCAAGATGAGCTTTATAGTGGCTCTTAATGGCTTCCCAGATGGGGCAGTGAAGCCTTCTAGAAATCCCAGAAATGGTGTACAGAATTAGCAGAGTGGTGACTGTCCTGCAGGCCCTGTTCAAAGCACTTCTCTATATTATCTTGTCACTGCCTTGTGAGTTACCGTTGAACCTTTATTTTGCAGAAGGAGAAACTGAGGCAGAGAGTTGCCTTGTCTGAATTTAGGCATGCATAGCAAATGCAGCTCAGTGGGTCAGCTGCATGGGCCTGTATTAGTCCTATTATAACTGTCTACTCCCTGGACCACTGAGGTCAGAACATGCAAAGCCTGCAGGATACTGTCAACTGGCCCTTGACAAACCAGAATGCAGAGTGGGAAGGGCCACAAAGTTGTGCATTTGTGTGCAGGGAAGGAACTTTGCTCAGAGAAGAGGTGGGATGGCAGTCAGCCTCCTGGTTGTCTTGCAGAGAAGGGACCCAGCCTTTTCTGCGGGGTCTAGATCGCATCACTACTGGCACAGGTGAAAGCTGTGGAGAGGCCGGTTTTGTTACTTCACAAGGAAGTTCTCCAAATGTTAAGCCCATCTGAGAAAAGAATGAGAAAATGAGTTTCCTGCCCCTGAAGGTGTTCAAGCAGGGACAGAGAGGGCGCCTGGGGTGCTGCTGAGGAAATCTCTGCATTAAGAGGGGTTTGCATCGGATGACTTGGGGGAAACTGTTTCAGCCCAGAGAGTTTATCCAGAGAGTGCTTGACCCTGCCCACCCCTGCCCACAATACCCCAGGTATTCACAGGTGAATTTTCACCTTCTACATGTGGCCAAAATTCTCTCCTTAGCCCACAGCTTTCTGAATAGCATTGCACTTGGCCTCCAACAAGGTCTCCTTCCTGTCTTGAGCACTGGCCACCAGGAAACAGTCCTCTTTCTCTAGCTCAAGCCTAGGCTGCTAGTTCTCCGGTACAGCAAGTTTTCCTGAGCCCAGCCTACCCTAGTACTCCCCCACTGTCACCCAGTATCAAGTCCTTTCCCCACAAGCAGTGGCTCCTATTTCTGCTCAGCTAGACAGTGCTGCAGCTACTGTGAATGAAGAGGCAGACACCTCTAAGAGGCACAATGGGCCAATCTACAATGCTGGGGGTCCAGCGTTGTGGCCACTGGCCTGAAGCTATCCTTTGGAAAAGGGGATGTGGCCAAATTAGACTGAAAATAGGGGTGACTAGCAGAGCATCAGGCATCTGCAGTGGCCCGGGGAAGTGATAATCCATGGCCAGCTAGTTGTATCTCCTTTCCTCCTTTCCTGGGCATCGGGGAATTGTGACTGCTGGGAATCCCTCACTCCAGTGCTTACACAGACATGGGTCCTGTTTCTCTTGGTGTCAGGAAAGTTGTACTCAGCCAGGCAGCCCTCAGTCTGGCCTCTCTGGTGGAGACCACATTGGAGTCTTGGTTAACATTCTCATCTTTGAACCCTTGGTACCAGAAGGCATCTGCTTAGCTGGAAAAGATCCTAAGCTTTACTTTCCTTAAACACTAAAAAACAATTCTTGCCTTTTCTTGATCATCAGGAGTACCCTTGGGAGTTTCCTCTCTTATGGGCTGTAAATGGGGGGGCTGTCCTCTCATTGACTGGACACTGAACTGGGTTGCTACCTCTCTACCCAGTGATGGCTGTGCAGCAGGAATGGGGATGAGACAGACATTCTTCCCTGTCAACCAAGATGACATTCTTAGGAAGAAGATAAGACACCCAATGCTCTGGGCTCCTGTTACTGAAAGAGGGCATGTATGCTACAGACCATCTCCTCTTCTTCTTCCACATCTGGCCCACCACCAAGGCCCACAGCCCTGTAAAGCATGACTGCTTCCCCCAAGGCCATTCTCCCCACCTGCCTGGGGCTTTTGGTGAAATATTAAAGATCTGTATTCCACAAGGTCAAATCTGAAGTGCCTAGTTTGTGTCACCTTGACTGATACCCTGAGAACTCAATGTTCAACCCCTCTGCTTTCTCCACGGTCTCTTCTGCCCAGGTCCACATAGAGTCAGAGAGCCTGCAAGCTGCAGGGGACTTGGGGGAGCAGCGACTGCGTATCATGAGTCAGCTAGGAAGCTTGTTCAAGTGCACATGCTGTTTTTGTAGATCTTTGGTGGACCAAAGGGTCCCTCTATTAAGCAAGCTTACAGGACCGTGGATGTTGTGGTCATTTTACAGATGCAAAAGCTCAGGCCTGAAGGCTTCACGATCCACCTACAGTATACAGAATCTATAGAAGCAGAACTCTGTTTTGCCTATCTGCAGCCCATCATCTGCTTTAAAAAGGACCTGCTGGGTCAGAGATTTAGTTCAGTGGCATATGCACCTGCCTGGCAAGTGCGAGGTTAAGAGCTTGATCCCTGTACCAAAAAAAGGACCTGCTTCCTTTAAAGCAGCCTCTTCCTGCACAGGCCCTGAGCATGAGCACAACCCCAGCATCCCACCTTAATCCCATTTCACTGTCCAGGATGAAAGACTTCTTCTTTTAGGGACCCCCCCCCCTTTATAGCTTGCATTTTTATCACCTCCAAAGAGGGTTTCTTTTTCTAAGATATTTATCCTGGCTTATGGACCCTACCCTTCTCTGCCAGAGATGTTAAAAATCATCTCCTTTTTTTTTTTTTTTTTTTTTTTTTGAGATGAGTATCTTTTAAACAACCATTTTTGCTCCAGGTTGGAGCACTGGTGTTGTGTTAAACCTCCATTACCACTCTCTGTTATTGGAACCCCCACCCCTAGAGTGATCTGGGAAAGGTTCTGTGCTCCTCCGCTGTCGCCTGCCTCCCAAAAGAGGCCCCGCTGGAGAGCTGGACTGCACCTCAGTTTCCCTGCCTCTGGAACTGATGTTCCAAAGCCAATCAAAGAACAGCACTTGAAGTGGCAGGGAGATTCCCAGGGGACAAGGACACCAGGGACTGGCCTGAGGCCAGGAGGAACTGGTTGGAGAGTCCAAGACTGTCTCCACTCTGTCCCCTCCTGCTGGCAGGAGGGCAAAATGCCATTCTGGGGACACAGCCATAATGGCGACAGGGGGTAAAAGTCTCACTGAGGCCAAGAGAAGGCGGAATGTGACAGGAAGTCGGGAAAACTCCCTTTTATAGGCATGTTCTTTTCATTTTTTTTTCAAGTTTACTCCCAGCGACAGTGCCCCCTTGAAAACATCAGCCCTGTTTGTAGTCGCGCCTAGGATAGGATGGGTCACTGGTGGACCCCTTCCCCATTTTGCCTGCAAGTTGCATGACCTGCATCGGAATCCACAGGGGGCGGGGGAGAATCCTTTCAGATCCTGGATGCGGCTGAATTCAGTGTATTTTGCTTCCTCGCCTGCACTCATCCAAACCCGGGGAGGAGAACCCTGCTTTCTTCTGCGCGTGAATGCTGTAGTGTGTCTGCCTGCTCCGGCTCCCCTAACCCTTTCTCTTCCTCTCCCACAGCGAACGCCCAGTTCTTCTCCGCAAACAGCTCACACTTGGCATCTTTTATGTCTTATTCATGTTTTATTATTTTAGAAAATAATCTCTATTAAAGCAAAAAGCTGGGACGCCTCCTCTCCCCAGACTGGATCTGAGCTCGCGTGGAAGCCTGCACCTGCTTTGCGCTCCTACCAGGAAGGGGTGCTTGTGTGGGAGGGAAGAAGGGAGGTCTGCGCCCCCGAATCCCGAGCGAGCAACCCGCCTGCCCCCTCACCCGGCAGCTAGCTCAGTGCACCCTAGAGCTGAGCCCGAGAAGCCGGCCTCTGACGGTGCCCGCGTGGCGCTTGCCAGAAAATACCCCTTGCATTTTAATTTCCCGGCCGCTTTTCTGGCATGCACCGCTCGCCCAGAGCCACCTCGGCTCCCCAGCGCAGCCCTGTCGGAGCTCTCCACGCCTTCTCCGCTCCCTGCGTGCCCAAGGCCGAGCCCAGAACCCACTGTCCAGACGGCGCAGTGGGCGTGAGAGCACCGGCGCCCCATGCTCCTCAGTCCCTCCTGGTCGAACCCAGCTCCCCGACTCTTCTCCATCGCCAGAACGCGTGTCGTTCGGATCTAGGTCCGCACGTCTGCGGCCCCAGTCCGGGGCTCCGCAAACCTCTCTAGGGTTCCCGTGCGCCCCGCGGCCCCACCCCCACCCCGGCGCTGTCCGCGAGCCTGCGTCCCCCAACCCTGCACCGGGAGCGCTCCTTGGTCACCTCGGCCGCGTTCATTTCACTTCCTCCCGCGGTCGAGATTGCAGCAAAACCGGGCAGCGCGAGGGCCAAAAAAAGTGGAAAGGAGAGCGCCTTTCGGGTCGCACAGCCAGCTCGGCCAACTCTCCCTCCCCAGCGCCGACCCTCGCAATCCCAACTGCAACTTTTTCCCTTCTGCCTCGTTTTCCCCTGGGCTGCGGCGTGCGGGGAGCGGGGCCGCGAGGCGTGGAGCAGGCGGGCGGCTGCGGGTGGCGCGCCGGCGAGAAGCTGCGAGCCGGCGAGTGGGTGGGTGGGTGGGGAAGGAGGAGGGAGAGGCTAGAGGGGAGGAGAGGGGTGTGGGGAGGGAAGGGGGGGGGAGATTCCGTTCTCCTGCCGCTCCCAGCCTGAGCAGGGGGCAGGGGGAAGAGGCCGCGCCGAGGGAGGGGAGGAGGGACGAGGAGGAGGGAGGGAGGGAGGGAGCCGAGGAAGACGCTCCGATAAGCCGTGCGTTTTGTAAGGCTCGGAGCACTTGTACATTTCTGCAGGCTCTCGGCGAGCCATTCGCGGCGGCGGCTGCTGCTGCAGCTCGGACTGCATCTTCCTCCTCCTCCTCGTCCTCCTCCTCTTGGTCCTCCTCCTCCTCCTCCTCCTCCTCCTCCTCCTCCTCCTCCTCCTCCTCCTCCTCCTCCTCCTCCTCCTCCTTCTCCTCCTCCTCCTTTTCCTCTCCTTGTGTGTGCCTGTGTGAATGTGTGTGTGTTTTGCAAGGTGTGTCCGTTTTAATTCTGCCCAGTAGGTGGGACTTGGTGACTTTAGCACCATTTCTCCTTCCCTTCTCCCCCTACCTTTTTATTATTATTATTTTGCTTCCCCACCGTCTGTTGCAACGCTGCTGCAAAGTCTCGGAGTCGGAGAGCGTACCTCGCTTCCGGAGCCCCTGGACCCGGCCAGCCGGCAAGCGCCGAGCGGGCCACCATGCCCGGCAGACCGCGCCACTAGGCGCTCCCCGCGGCTACCACCCGGCGGCGGCCGCGATGGTTTCAGAGGCTGAAGGATTTTGCATCTGATCGCTCGGCGTTTCAAAGGCAGAGGCCCCCCTCCCCCTCCCCCTCCCTCGCCGTCTTTGTTTCCTCCCCCCTGCTCTCCCCACTCCCCCCCACCCCACCCCCCTCTCCTCTCCTCCTCCTCTTTTTTAGAAGCAGCGATCGGAGATGGATGTCTCTCTTTGCCCAGCCAAGTGTAGTTTTTGGCGGATTTTCTTGCTGGGAAGCGTCTGGCTGGACTATGTGGGCTCCGTACTGGCTTGCCCGGCAAATTGTGTCTGCAGCAAGACTGAGATCAATTGCCGGCGGCCGGACGATGGGAACCTCTTCCCGCTCTTGGAAGGACAGGATTCAGGGAACAGCAATGGGAACTCCAGCGTCAACATCACGGACATCTCAAGGAATATCACTTCCATGTAAGTCGGGCGGCCGCTCCCCAGCCCGCCCACCCCGCGCAGCTCCGCGTCCCTCTCTCGCCAGTTCGCGGCCCGGAGCCGGCCCTAGTTCGCCGTAGCTCGCCCCGGCTCGCCGCCGCTCACCGATGCCAGCCTGGCGCGCGCCAGGCTCGCTCGGGCTCGGGAGACGCTCTGGGCTGCGGAGCCCAGGTGACGCCGGCCCTGCGAGGCGCGATCTAGGATGCTGGCGGGTGCCTTTCCAGGGAGAGGACCCCGGCCCGCCCAGGGCACGCAGGGCCCAGCTCCCACCCCGCCCCCACCAGCTGCCGGCTCCGTTGGGGAGTGCGAATGGGATTCTTCGCCCCTCACGAAATAGCAACAGTTTGGCCACGCTCAAGTGGAATAAAGTAGACCAGGCTGGATTCCCTGGCAGAGCGGCAGAGAAGGCAGCGCTTAGCTGGAAAGGAAGGTGACAGATAGGGACTACGTGACCCAGCCGAGATGTTTTAACTGTTTCCTTTTGGAGACAGCAAAACACGCTGTCAAGTAAACAAGTTGGGAGCTGGCTTCTCGGGGAGACTTTGGACGTGTCCAGGCCGTCATGGACGCCTGCCTCTTCCCTTCCCTTCTCGCCTGCCCGCCCTCTCTAGCCCCATTTTGGGCATTTCCGAGACCCCCCCCCCCCCATCCTCGCGGCATCTGGGTGCCTACAGATCCCATTCCTGCTAAGGCTCTGATAACTGCTCCGGATAAATCCGAGCCCGAGCCGGATGGTGAAGGGAGAGGACAGGGTGTGCATTTGGGGAAGGGGCTTCTATGCTCCTGCAGATCCAGCCATGTATTTGGAAAATCAAACTCTGGCTGCCGTTTGCCTGGTTCTGCCCCATCTAAGTGCCACCTGCTCTTTTCTTCACGTTATTTTTCTTCTATAGGATTGGGAGTCCGGGAAGCCAGCAAGAGCTCAGGGGCACCTGCCCATCCCTTCTTTTACCTCTCATCAACCAGGGGGCCCCCTCCCATCCTGCCCCTATGGAGAAGGGGTGCATGGCACCAGCATGTTCAGAGGGTTCCACTCCCTGCTTCTCCACAAGGCCCCTGTCCCTTGGGAGCTCCCAGGAGTAGGTAGGATGCTGAGAAAGGTTTGCCTTGGCATGCTGGCCGGGTTCCCAGGAAGGCACCTCAGAGGCAGGAGGCCGAAGATGCCATTGCATTGCTCTCCCAGCCTCAGCCCTCCCTTTGCTTGAGTGGGTGCAAAGGGACTGTGAAGCCTGGAGGAATTGTCCTGCTCTCTGGAAAGCCCGCCAGCCCTCCTGGCCTAATGGAGACTGCTTGTGTTCTTGCAGCTAACTATCTGAAGGAAGTGGTCAGCCAGGAGATGTCCCTGACTCCTGGCCCAGGAGGCAAGCTTGACCCATATCTCAGCTCTACTGTCCACCCCTCACCACCTTCACCAGACAACCAGCTAGTGTGGAAGGAGAGGCAGGAGACAGGAAAAGCTGGATAAACCCTTCAGTGGCAGCCTTCCCTGCAGGCTACAGCATCCAGCGCCGTTAGGGATGGAGGGAGGGTATTGTCAAAGAAACTCCGGTCTTGGAAATGCATCTCTGGGGGGCTATGTGTGGAGGGCTGAGTAGAGGGAGCTTAGTGGCGGGTCTTGGTTCTCCTGAGGAGCTTGACCTAGGGATGTCCAGGCAACTGGGTAGGCTGGGGGCTGGAGTGAAGTGCCCCACGTGCCTAAGAATCCCTGGAAACCTGTGAACTGCCTCCAGTTCTCTGTCTGCTCCAGAATCTTGTGTGTCTGTTGGGAGCCAGCAGGAGGCAGGGAGGGTCACTTAGGCTCTTTATAGTCACCAGGAGGTGTTGCTCCTCTAAAAACCAGGCTTGGAGAAGCAGTTTGATGGGGCCAGTTGGGTCTGTTTTTCCAGGTTGCTGGAGGAAGAGGGGACTTGGGTGGCCTCTTGTCTTCTATGGCATTAGAGGATCCCAGAAAGGAATCTCAGGGGACAGAAAGGAGGGAGTGAGTTCTGTGTATTCTCATTCTTGTTTCAGGACTTGGGCCCTGGCAGGCCATCAAGACTCTGCCCTAAAGCCACCCCAACATGAAAGAGCAGGGGAACTGGATTCTCACAAGAGCTGTGGGAGTAGCAGGTGGGGAAAGGCCAGAGATCAGGGGTCGGATGACCCTTTCTGACCCATCTTCTCCCCAGTGCCCTGTTATATCTGTGGCTGATATTGGCTGAACTCAGGGAAGGTCCCAGCCTCCTACTGCAGATGTAGAGTCCAGAGAGGAAGGGAGTCATGTTCACTTTGTGGAGAGCATGTTCTGATCCCTGTGTTATCCCAAGGAAATAAAGTTACCAGGGTTGAGGCAATTCTCCCCAGACACATAGATAGCCCCAGGAGGGAGCCTAGTTTGTCCAGCACCCAGTCCAAGGTCCCCACCCTGAGGCTCCTTGCAGGAAGAGGGTCCTTGCCTTGGCTGGGCCTAAGAGGAGAGGCTCCCAGGTTCTTCAGGCTCATGGTTTCCAGAGATAGAGGGTATAGGACCTCCCCTCCAGCACCCATCAGTTTGAAGCTTTGTGTGCTGGTGTCTGTGCTGGGTATTGGGGGAGGAAGATACTGGGGCCTCCGCAGTTCAGCTCCTATTCCAGAGGAGGAACTAGGGTCCCTGCCTCAGGGGCTAAGCTGATTGTGCCTGAGTTTTCAGAAGGACAAGGCTGTGTTCTGTGGTTCAGCTTCTCTGGGTAGGATATGCACTGGGTCCTGTGCCCATTTGGAGCTTGGCTGAGGGCTACCCATTGAGATCAGAAGGACATCAGCCACAGACCATCATCATCCACAGCAGAATGTGGGACTCCAAAGTCTCCCAACCCCCTTGGCCTCTTTCTGCCTGGTAGGCCAATCCTGTGGCTTTGGAGCTCTTAATACAAGGTAGCCTTCCCTAGAAAAGTCCATGCGTGGTCACACCCATCTAGGCTCTGACGTCACAAAGGCAAGAGGGTGGTGGCCAGGATGGTGGACTGTCTGGGTGACCTCTCTAGTCTAATGTGGGAGTGGGTTGGAATGGTGCATCTTTTGGCTGTTAGAAAGAAGACAAAAAGGGAGAAGATGACATTTTGGGCCAGGTGTTCTTGGGCCTGGCTGTCTGGGCTTGCAGGGATTGTGGGTTCTTGGCTGGGATACCAAGCTGAAAGCTGGATGTCACTCTGAACTGCCACAGAGTCCCTGGTGTTGGTAGCTGTCTAGTATCTTGATTTCTCCTGCTCTTCCAGAAGACAATCTCTGACTGGTGGAAGGGTCATTTGGGGCTTTAGTGCTATTTATCCTCTGGATTCTGTGCTTTTACAAGGATCAAGGAGAGACCCAGCCTTGATGGTTACCAATGAGAACTGGGGTCCAGAAAAATGTGAACCAGTCCCAAGGGTCTTGGGTGCTCTATTAGGGGGCTCAGCAAGCTGCTCAGAGCCCCAGGATTGGGGATCTGCTATCTATGTGAAGTAGGCACAGACATGAGGGGGTCTTTGGGCTGAGATTTGGAAGAGAAAGTGTTTATAGCCCCAGGAAAAGGGATACTTCCCTGATGAAAGCTGAGGACCCTTTACTCCACTGGTCTTGGAATTTTACCCTCAGGCAGAGCTGTTGATCCATAATTTTCAGCCCCAGCAAATCCAAAATCTTTGCAGTACTCCTTGGGACCAAAGGCACCAGCCCTGCAACTCCTGGGACCTGAGTAGCTTGGGACAAGACCAGCCCATCCTGGCCATGGCTTTGAGAGTAGATAGATTTTGGCTCCAAGAGGTCTGTGTTGAAGCCTGGGATGCATCTTCATGTCCTGTAGGGCTCTGGCTGCCCTCTGGCTAGCTGAGGTGGAGTGTGATATGATAGGAAAGGGTGGCAGGGATGTGTGTTGGTCAGGAGCCTTCCTTTGGATGGCTCTTCCCAGAATAGTGCTATTGTCACTGTGGCTTGAGTTCCCAGATCCAGTGATGCACTGAACAGCTCTTATAGTGTTCATAGGCTCCATTTCTAGCCTCTCCTTGTGGCCTTCAGGTGGCCAGTGGCAGACTAGAAGTTAGGAAAGGGGTGGGACACCTTATATACATCCTAGTTGTGCCCCCATATCTCTTGAGCTGTATGAAAGGGCTGTAACCTTTCTGAGCTTGTAGACTCAACTGTAAACTGAGACCTCAAGGCAGAGTGTCCCTTTCAACTTGAATATTTGCCATTCCAGGGCCCAAGGAATATCCCCTGAGGCTTAGCCAGGCCTCAGGAGGCTCATCCAGGTCCCTTTAAGGGACCCTTCTTTAGAATTGTGGTGACCCTTATTACACTGCCAGAAGGAGGTCAGAGGTGCTCCCTCACTGGCCAGGGCCACTGGTCATTTCATTCTGCTTTTCCTTTCCTCCTCTAGAGAACTAAGATCACCCAGAATTTGTGACATATGACAAAATTTGAAGTCAACTACTCAGACCAGATGTCACACTTGGGAAAGTTACGGGACCTGCAGCTTCTCCTCATAGGCTGGACACTGACCTATATGACCCATGGCATTCTGTATTCTAGGATTGGGAGCAGGAGATGTCCCCTACATAGGTTTTAACCCTCGTTAGAACAAGGATTGTGCTGAAGTGTAAGAAGAAAATATGATAATTTCTGTTTCAAAAAATTCTTGCATATAAAAGGGAATATTTAATATTTAATGTACAGATTGAAGATATCTAAGCATATAATTTAATAAATATGAGTGTTTTGGGGTTGCAAGATAAATTTTTTTATTGCTGAATTGTGCATAGTCAAAGCAGCATGGTGCCCTCCATTTTTGTGACTGGAAAGCCCTGTGCTTGAGGGGGAGAGGGGAGGGGACAGGGAGGTGAACCTGAAGGCCCTGATTCTCCTTCTTCCTGCTTCCCCAAGGAGGATTTGGTGAACTGGGTGGCGGGTAGAAGAGATCAGGCTAGGCTGGATCAGATAGGAGAACTCAGATCCCCATCAGGATTCCCAAGGTCTGCAAGCCTCCTCCC